TCATATATATATAAAAGTCGTAGACGGTTGCAGGGTGTGAAATCGTAAGAAATTGATTAATTCTAGTTAAGTATTCTCCCTATATTTGACTGTGCTTGATCGGTTTCCTACAACTTAAAACTCCACGATTATCTACGAATTCTATGTAAACGAGCTAAAGTCTATCCAAAAGATAGGTTAGATTCTATATATTTTGTTTCTATTACTAATAATTGGTTGGTATAGCAGACTAACAGCAATCACAACAACATAATTTGTTGTTACATATTTACCGATCACCGGTTAAAGGTACTGGTGGCTTGCTAAATTAACAAAATCCTTTCTCTCAGTGGATAGTCTGAGAACGAAATTCATTAAAATTATGTAATAATTGTGATAGAAAAGAAATTAAGTGTAACAAGTAGTCAAATTACCTTATATTCATGGTGCGGATTGATAAACATAAGCTGTCAAGACCTTTATAATAGAAATTAGTGAAATTATACAATTCAGGGTCAATGTTCATAACGCAATCCTGACGTAGATTAAGGGGTTATAGGCAGTCAGAGGCCCAAAAAAAGGCATTTTTTCAAATTTTTATTGGGAAAACGTGTTTACTTTTTTATTCGGGAACTTTTGTGTCATATCAGTTTATGTTTGAAGAACTTATTGTAATTTTTTCGTTACAAAATAATAATTGTACTGGCGAATATTTTAATGCAACACGTCAAAAAAATGTGACCCTCTCGTGGACATGATATCTTGAGACTGGATCATCTGAAATCAAAATTTCAAAAAGATTTCGTTAGCAGATGACTTTATCTCGTACTTGAACGAAGGATTTCGAAAAAAATTGAATTTTGAATTTTTGGGACAACTTTAAAGTTTGAATCACGATTTTCACTAAAAAATTGCATCTGACCCAACAATAAAAAACACTAAAAAACATTTCATGTTTGTAAAACAAGTTCTATTCATTGAAAAAAAAATCCTTCGTCCAAGTACGATTTTAATATGTGTAAAAGAAGTACGTAAAATTTCAAAAAGATCAGTGCAGTAGATTTTGAGATATCGTGTCCATCGACTTTGAAAACGTAGTTTTGAGAAAAACGCGTTTAAAGTTTTCAGTGCGAATAAAACCTGGATAATTTTTTTTTTTCAACTTACACAGTGTCATCGATTACAGGCCCATAAAATAAGTCCTCTATGTCTTCCAAAATGTATAAGTTTTCCGATTTCTGCTGTCTGCGTAGGATTCTTGCCTCCCGCGTAGCAAGTTGCCCTCTGTGCTCAGCGATGGTAATTCGATTCTCGTCCATTTGGCGACAGTACTCGTGGGCGTTGTGTCCTAATTTTGATCCTATTGAGTACAGCATAGTTAGATGTATTGATGATCCTTCATTAAAAACGGAAGCTGCAATCATAGCAGCAATATTTACTATTGTAGAGCCACTAGGAACAGTTTTGGGCGTTATTTTCCAGAACAACTGGTTGTAGCTTTTGTTGTTGTTTTGGTTGAAGCCATCAACACATCTTTGTAATAAGGCTTCCGCGCTTAAATCGTTGTAAACTGGACGAATTGCTTCCAGTACTTCGCTACTAAATGCATCATATGAGTGCACGTACTCGTATGATTCTAGCTTACCCGTGGCTGCAGCGCGCTGCCAATCGCACCAAGAATCTTGGCCGACAGGACACAAATCGTGTTGGGGATTTTCATTCGTAGAGGAGTAATGGTAAAATGTGGCCCAAATTGCATTTGACATATTTTCAATATTGTCACAATTACGCCGTATTGCAAGTCCATAATAAACGGTAAGCTTGTCTATTACTTTTCCTGTCAATTTACCTTTTCCTCCCAAAACTTTTCTTTTTGTTTTTTTTTTTATTTTTCGTTTCCACTTCAACGACAGTATTTTTTACAAGATTACGCAGACGAGTCCCCATCCTCTTCTGTATAGAAACTTGTTTATACTTGCGCATCGCCGGCGTCCAACGTGACTCACAGCAGCTCGAACGGTCGGGGCTTGTAAACACTTTCACTCTTACAATTTTGCTCGGATCGACTTGAAATTTTAGGACAACATTCCTGAATTGCCTATAACCCCTTAAAGTATTTAAACGTTTCTTAACTTTGCAAAAGGCACATGTACACATACAAGTTACTTTCAATTTAATAAGCCGATTAAATTGAAATTGACTTGATATACATATATGTGTACGTGTGCCTTTTATAAAGTTTAGAAATGTTTGCTAGAAACTAACAGAGCATTGACTGCCTCACCTTGAAAAGGGATGAACATCAGAAGAAATGCGATACCGAAAATAGATGATATTCCGATGTCGATCAAATGGAATGTAATGTATGTGATGATGATGGTCTCCAAAGATCCGAGCCACAAATAATGGAGAAATATGATACTGACGTCGAATCTATTGACATCGTTAGATAGCAGATTAACTGCCTGGCCGATTGTCGTTTCGCCCGACGCGGTTATAGTTAGCTTCAACGTCTTGCGGTAGATCAGCAAACAGCAGGCTACATGAACCTTCATACCCAAATGAGTCATATCCATCATGTAAGGATGGACTACGAATATGTTAACAGCGGAGCACAAAATAATGCCGATGGCGCATTTGTACGAGTAAAACTTGTCGATGCCTGTGGTGTTAAAATAGAGCAGCATCTGACCTAACAATAACGGTTGCACTATTCTGCATCAAAAAAGAAAATTCGTCAGAATGTGAGAAATTTGCAAATTAAAAACTAGTTTAAAAATTTATATTCTAAATCTTAAAAATTTGTGAACTTTAATTTGATTTTAATTTCAAAATGATAATAATTATCGTATTCTTTCATGAAAATTCGGAACATACAATTATATCACAATCATTTAATTATCATAAATACATTCATTTAATTAGATCTTTATTTAGTTAAATCTTTATTCTTAATTCAAAAAATACCGAAATTTCATTAATAAAAACTGCTTAATAAAAGATTTAATTCCACAGGATTAAATTCGTGCAATTTTTTATCATATTCTTTCATGAAAATTCGTAACATACAATTATATCACACATTAATTTAATTATCATAAATACATTCATTTAATTAGATCTTTATTTAGTTAAATCTTTATTCTTAATTCAAAAAATACCGAAATTTCATTAATAAAAACTGCTTAGTAAAAGATTTAATTCCACAGGATTAAATTCGTGTAACTTTTTATCATCAAGACATCGCCAATGCAAGAAATGTAAAATATTAAGACGAAAAACTTCACAATTTCTAGGTAAAAAATGAAAGAGAAGTTGCACCTGAGCAAAATTTCTATAACGGCCATGAAAGTTCCGCACAGTAGGGTCTTGAAACCGAAACACCTGATGAGGACTCTCATCAGGCTGGGCTCCTTAACCTTCTTCTGTGATCCACATTTCGTCACCTGCTCCAGCCGACACTGATATGCCTTCCATTCCTTCTCCCAAGCTTTCGCTATTTTAACACTAAGAATATCACTTGTATGCTCTTTAAGTGGTGTATACAAATTTAACTCTAATGATATGTATCATATTCGTATAATTGATTATCAAATTAATTAAATTCTACCAAATTAAAAAGTAAAATCAATCTTTTTTTTATTATTTACTTAACTCTAATGATATGTATCATGTGTATAAAAGTTTTTGTCTATGTAATTTTAAAATTATATACAAACTTACCTTTTTAAAAAAAAGGTAAAAAAAGCGCCAAGCGTTGGTGAAACTGGCCCAAATGGTGCTTCTCGTAGAGAATCACCATTTGGGCCATTTTCACCAACGCCAATTACTTAATCGGCCG